GGTTTGCTTAAGCTAACTGAAAACAATACAGCTTTACAAGAGTTTCACAATAATGTTCTCAATACTTATTACTTGTAGTACTTCTCAGGAACTTTGTTTTAAGTAAGCATCTGAGGTTACAGCACATATGGGCATCAAACTCACAATGTTTTTGGCTCAGATCTCTAATTGTTGCAAGAATATCTGTGTACTACAACAGTTAGTTTAATCCTAGGAGAAAGTAATCACCAGGCAAAATCTTAGAACACGAAAAATTGTGATTTGTATAATAAATAGCCCACTCCCTTTACACATGTGGTTTTTTTAGTTTAAAACATATTTTACATATTTATCAAATTTCCACCTAATATTTCATAGGAAAGTAAACAAATATGTCAATAACTGATAACAGTGTGTTAAATTGTCAGAAAGGTGCCTTTTGGGAATCTGCACTAGTGTGCAGCAGATAGGTAGCAATCCTTCCTAGGGAAAATTGAATTTCATGAAGATTAAATAAAAGAGTCTATATATAGGAAAAATAGTGTGATGAAAGTTTTGTCTTTACATGTAAACTTTTGCTTCCTGAAAGATAACACTAAGAGGTCAAATTATTTTTGGATAGTTTTATCTTTTTTGGTTTGTTTGGTTGTACTTTAATTTTTTATTAATAGTTACTTTTCTCAATCGGTTTAGGGAAGCAGGTAGACTGACAACAGACTTTCAACTTTGCCCTGCTTTTCCATATCCTATGCCCAAGTCATCTTTAGCTCTGCAGCAGAAAACATATGGCAGCACTTCCCTTCTCTAGTGGATTCAAAGACCTTTCTCTTCTAATATTGCTCCCTCAACCCATTGCATTTTCCCAGCCCCCAAGTTTGGTGCTTCCTGAAAACATACTGATTATTGGGGCAAGGAAATCAGATAAGCTATCTGCAGATTGATCTTCACTTTTCCTAGCATATCTCCAACTCCAACTACCAAGTCTCATTCTTATCTCTGCAAAAGAACTCCAAACTTTTGGAAGTGAATTGATTTTCCCAAGCCCCTGACCCCAGAATGCACTCCTGAGGAAGCCAAAGGCTATTATGACAAGGGAAAGAAGTAGGTTACATTGTCAGATTTCATCTCTTTGTCTATTATCAAATTCAATACCTGAGTCTCATCCTGACCATTTTATCTAACCTTCTGATGTGGCCTTTCCTCATTATATGGCTCCATTCCAAGGAGACTAAGTATGCAGATCCCAGTGAAACACTCTCCTTTCTTTCCCCTTGTGAAGTCCCTCTATAGAGGCCAGCCCGTCTCTATTTCTAACTGTCCTGATCCACAATCAATAAACACATCTTATCTGGTACCCTAATGTAGTTTCTACAGGTTACATAAAGCCACCTTATTATCCTAATAACCAGAGTAAAAAAAAAAACAGGGCACAAAACTCTCACCCAATAAAGACAAGACCAGATATCAGCAGCTAGAATTATTATATTCCTAATCTAAGATGCCCAAGTTCCAGTGTAAATATGGAATCAATATTTAGATAGAGGCTAATATCCAATATATACAAAGAACTCAAGAAATTAGACTCCAGACAACCAAATTACCCTATTAAAAAATGGGGTATAGAACTTAACAAAGAATTTTCAATGGAAGAAACTTGAATGGCTGAGAAGCACCTAAAGAAATGTTCAGCATCCTTAGTTGACAGGGAAATGCAAATCAAAACAACCCTGAGATTCCATCTCACACCAGTCAGAATGGCTAAAATTAAAAACTCAGGTGATAGTAGATGCTGGCGAGGGTGTGGAGAAAGAGGAACACTCCTCCATTGTTGGTGGGACTGCAAGATGGTGCAACCACTTTGGAAATTAGTCTGGTGGTTCCTCAGAAAATTGGACATAGCATTACCTGAGGATCCAGCTATACCACTCCTAGGCATATACCCAGAAGATGCTCGAACATATAACAAGGACATATGCTCAACTATGTTCATAGCAGCCTTGTTTATAATAGCCAGGACCTGGAAAGAACCCAGATGTCCTTCAACTGAGGAATGGATTCAAAAAATGTGGTATATTTACACAATGGAGTATTACTCAGCTATTAAAAACAATGAATTTGAGAGGTTTCTAGGTAAATGGATGGAACTAGAAATTATCATCCTGAGTGAGGTAAGCCAATCACAAAAGAATACACATGGTATTCACTCACTGATTATTGGATATTAGCCCAAAACCTTGAAATGCCCAAGATGCAACTCACAGGCTACATGAAGCCCATAAAGAAGGAAGACCAAGTGGGGGTGATTCGGTCCTCCTTAGAAGGAGCAACAAAATACTCAAGAGAGCAAATATGGAGACAAAGTGAGGGACAGAAACTGAAGGAGGGGCCGTCTCAAGACCACTCCACCTGAGTATCTATCCCATGTGCAATCACCAAAAGTAGATGCTGATGTGGAAGTCAGGAAGTGCATGCTGATAAGAGCCTGATATGGATATCTCCTCAGAGGTCTTCAAGAGTCTGACATACTCAGAGGCAGATGCTCACAACTAGCCATTGAACTGATCATGGCGTTCTCAATAGAGGAGTTAGAGTGAAGACTGAAGGATAGCTGAAAGGATTTGCGGCACCATGAGGAGAGCAACAATACCAACCAACCATAGCTCCCAGGGTCTAAACCACCAGCCTGGGAGCACTTAGGGAGGGATCCAGCGCTCCAGTTGAATATGTAAGAGTGGAGGGCCCTGCTGGGCATAGGTGGAAGAAGAGAACCTTGACCTCATGAAGGCTGGATGTCCCAGGGGGTGGGAATTTTGAGGGTGGGGAGGTGGGAGTGGGGTGGGTAGATAGAGGTTACATTCACAGAGAAGAAGGAGGAGGGGTGAGGGGATTGGGGCTTCCTGGGGGGATGGGGTAAGGGGACAACATAGGAAATATAATTAAAACATCCAATAAAAATTAAAAAAAAAAAACAACCAGGACAATATATCTCTACTAGAGACCAGCAATCAAAACACAGCATGCCCTGGGTATTTCGCCATAGCTGAGACACAAAAGAAAATCCTTAAATCAGCTTTATGAATATAACAGTGGTCTTTTAAAAGGAAATGAAATGAATAGATTTCTTTTAAAGAAATCTATGAAACCACGAAGAAACAGTGGAAAGAAATAAATTTAACTAATTTTCACCTGCGTAGAAATAGAATCAATACCAAAAATCCAAATTGAGGAAATCTCAAAATGAAAATTTCAAGAACTCAAACAGGTAACTCAGAGGCATTCTTCACCAAAAGTAGATGGATAGAATGGAGACCTTTTTGTATTGAAAACATAGTAAAATAAATAAATGCAATAAAGGAAATATTACATATTTGGAACTCCTGGTACATAATATCCAGGAAATTTGGGTCACTATTTTGAAAACACCAGATGTATGAATAATAGAGATAGAAGATAAAAGGAAACTCACATCAGAGGCACAGAAAATATTTTCAATAAAATTATATAAAAAAATACTAACCTAAAGAAAGACATGTCTATCAAAGTTCATGAAGAATACAGAACATAAAGTAGATTGGAAGAGAAAAGAAAGTCCTCTAAGCACATAGTAATCAAAACATTAAATACACACAATAAATTATGTACGGATGTGCAAGAACTAGGATGAGGCAAACAAGTGGGAGTGGGGAAGGCACAGGATTTGTAGAAAAAAGTACAGGTAAATACAGGTAAAATTAAGTAATATTTGAGAGGTAGTATTGAACTCTAGTACAGTGGAAACTTCCTAAAATCTATGTATAAATGAATGTGGTCAGAGTGAAATAACCAGATTATGGACATCTCTTGTCACAGAGATGAAAAGAATGAGAGAGAGAGAGATAGAGAGAGAGAGAGAGAGAGAGAGAGAGAGAGAGAGAGAGAGAGGGTGTTGGTTACATCTAAATGAGTTTTTGGGCATATGGACTCCGTAGGAATCACGCTCAATAAGCCCAGACTGTTGCAAAGACTATAAGTTGCTCTCCACAAACTGACTCCAAGCCTTCATTGCAAAAGGCACCTATACATATTACTGAATGTGAAGATACCAAGCTAGTCCCTATAAAGAACTTCTACTCTTAAGTCCTAGTTCTTTAGGACAGAAAGGCACTTTGTGTGCTCCACAAAGATAAGTATCAAACCCAAGCTAGGCACAAATCCTATCTATAGTGGTGTACTACTTGCTAGAAAAGTTAGATGAGTGGTGTCTCAAAGCTTTATGTGATTAACAAATCAATAACTTATTTGACTTTAATCCCGTTTCATGAGATGGAGCCTATATCCCAAATTGCTTGTGTAATCAAGGACCTAAAACTAGATAGCCCAAGGTCTTATGGTAAAATCAAATAATGCTATTAAAAAGGAAAAAGAAAAAAATGTAAAATGACTCCTAATGATATTCTGCTATATGCATAGAACAGTGCCTTGTTTGCACAGAAACTTCCTCTTGCAGCAGATGGGGACAAATATAGAAACTAACAATCATACATTATAAAAAGTAAGATGACCTAAATGGATCTCTCCATGAAAGTCTTCTTTAAGAAGAGGATGCAAGACTATAAAAGCAAGAGGAAATTGAGAGCACAAAGAAACATGAACACTTGGAGACTAAAGCAGCATAGACAGAGCTTGGCTGGGGTGGTCCCACATACTCTGTGTCTATATCATTGTCTCAAGTTTAGTGTTTTCATGAGATTCTTGAATGAGTGAATGAGTAGGTTACTGATCATCATTCTTTCAATCAGACTCTTTTTCTTTTTATTGGTTTGACTTGTCTAACTTCGATGTAATAGATTTTGCTTTATCACACATCATTTGGCTTACACTTACACAGCATTCTTAACCATTGAAGGAAGTTGAAACAAGAAATTAAACATCACATAACCCTGGTGGCTGATGCTGATTTTGAGACAATAGTAACAGGCTACTTGTTGCCTTTTTTGCCATAGTATATGTACCTGTATTGTTAAAAAACACAAGTATGCCAGCTCTCAGAAGGGGATGGGCCCTCCCCTTTCAATCAATGATTAATAAATGCCTCACAGATATGCCTTCAACCTGAACTTTTGGAGGCATTTTCACAATTAAGGTTCCCTCCTTTCAGGTGATTCTTGCTTGTCACATGTTGACACACAACTATCGAGCATATTATTCCATATTGCATTCTATTATATATTCTTTTATTGATTTGAGATACTTGTAGTACTAGATTATTTTCAAGGAAAATCTTTAGAATTTGGTGGGTAATGGGGCATAGAGGATCTGAAAGGACTCTGGGAGAGGGTACATATGATCATCATGCATTTGCATTTAAATGTTTTTTAGTCAATAAAAGATAATTTTAAAAATGTCAGAACAAACAAAAAATCACAATTCTCAATAACATTACTCATTACTTGGATCCAGTTTTTCATTGTGTAGTGACTGTGAGACTGATACTCACCTTTTTCATGTCTTCATAGTAGAGCACCAGGAAGTTGTCCCATTCTCTCATGGACAGCCAGCAACGGACATGCTGAAACCATGATCCAAATGGAACTGTATACAGGGAGAAGTAAAGTGTCAATTACATATCCTTATTACAGAGCCTGCTTGACTTCCTTCACTTCTCTGAAAGCAGTAGCAGAAGGCTTCACTAAGAAAAATTTAACTATTTATAGCATTAAACATGATGTTTGAGGCAAATACCAAAATAAATAATAGATAAATCAAATTCACTAACAAACTCATTACCACATAGTCTTACCATGGAGGCCATGAGGAGATATCCTACTGCCAGGTTGCAAGGACAAGAGTATTTCCTGAATGAATTTTTCACACAAATACAGGAATCTAGAGGTGATTCCTGTAAATACCTGCCTTCTGGTGAGGTGCACTAGAAAAATGGAAACATTTGATGACAGAGATGGGAGAATAGTATTTTATATGATGTTGGGACGAAAGATTCAACCAATTGGCTGAAATCTATATGGAGGTATGAATCAAGGCTCAACTGCATCACTAATAACCACACTAACAAAGTAAGTCAGTGGAATAAGGCAACTTTGTGTGTGTGAGTGTGTGTGTGTGTGTGTGTGTGTGTG